TAGAACATAATCACGAGTGTGATATCAAGACGCTTAATAGACAGATTGTGCGTAGCAGTGCCAAAAGGAAGGCTAAGGATAATTTGACCGAAAGGCCGTCCAAAATCATACATAGTGCGTTGAAAGAAAATGTAGATTGCTTGAGCTACATGTTTGTTAAAGACATAATTTAATACGAAATCAAATATACAGTGAACGGCGACCAACCCAATTTCTCAACCCAAAACTGCCCAAAAGTAAAGAAGAAACTATTGCTGCGGTAAATATTATGAATATCAAAACAATTAAAGACGAGAATTTTATATTTGCGGTTGAACTAAGTTCTAACATTATCATCTTCTCCTGTAACACTAACATGCGTTTTCTGAGCGGCAGTGAAACGATTTATATGGACAGTACATTTAGTTACTGTGCTCAATATTTCAAGCAATTTTTTACCATACATGTATTTATCAATGGATATTATATACCATTGTGTTATTGTTTACTTCCCGACAAATCGGAACAAACCTATATAAAACTATTTAATGTTTTGAAACGCAAATGTGAAGTAATTGGTCTAAAATTCAATCCAAAAATCATTTTCTCCGATTTTGAAATTGCTATTCACAATGCTGCAAGTTTTGAATTTCCAAATGTGCACACTAAAGGGTGCCGTTTTCATCTTATGCAAGCTTGGTATCGTAATATCGGTGGTTGTGGCTTAATTCGGGAATATAAATTGGCAGTGAAATATCTAAATGGCTGAAATATATTTTTGGGCTGCCATTTTTACATCCCTCAGAAGTCGAAGAATCTTTCATATATGATTTTATAGCTATTCAACCAAAGGATTAAAAAATTGAAAAGTTTTCCGACTACTTATTCGACAACTACATTAGCGACCACGCAACATTTCCTTCGGAGATGTGGGCTGCGATGAGTGAGAGTTTATAATTAACAACTAATGCTTGTGAATCGTTCCACTCGCGTTTTAATGATAATTTTTACCATGCTCATCCAAACATTTACCATTTTATTGATGTTTTAAAAAAATTTTAAACTGAAACTTACATTAAAATTAATAGTGTCTGTAATAGTGAAAGTAATATACTTAAAGATCCAAAGAGTAGAAAAAAAATGTTCGTTAGAAATAGGATACATGAGTATCAAACTAACTGTATCGATCGATTCCATTTCGTAAAATGTATGTCGTATTTATTTCAAAGTGACAAATAAACCTTATTAAGCTTAATCTCTAGAATTTTATTACCTGACTTTCCATTTACATTTCAATTACACCCAGCGTCCAAATCATGTATGCAGAAACAGGTGAGTTTATTTTTTTCATTGTCGAATTTTAAATTTAGCGTCCAAACCATGCATGCCCCTTGTTTTAAATTATCTCTGTTTACTGTAACTTTCACAGGCTACTTCAGGCAATTTAGAGATTAAAATATTTTTGATGAGTTTGTCTGATGTAGTGGCAGGTTAGAGTCTTGTCACATGCAATTAAATAAGTCTAAGGACAGTCTGTATAGTACAATTTGTTACCTCCAATAACGAAACCCGTGCGCTTACGTTTTTGCTGCATCCAATCACCTGAATTTTCCTCTGTGTTATTCTTCCGTTCACTAAGTTGTTGCATTTCAGCCATTTTATTGTGTGCAACTCCATTGTTTATTGCAAATTTTATTTCTTGGGCAATAATTCTATTTCGTGTAGAGGTACTCTTATGTTCTTCAGTGTTTGTATTTTTATTTTTCAACTGTATTTGTTTATATTTGCTTTCATATGACCTTGCCCTTGATCAGCTATTTTGTTGGCATAGGTGACTTCTTGAATGGTCGATTTACAAACAATGTTTTTGTGCTCACTGTTGTAACCTCGGGAATCTTTTTTGGGTGGTGCTAGAAAGAAAACCAATGGAGACACTGCGGACGGTAGCCAGATGGTTGGTGGAGAGCGAGTCGTGGGTTCGAAACTAGCTTTTGGAACCGGGAATGGATCCAACGGAAGAAATAGGTAAAGATAGGATAAGAGATATTAGAAAAGATACAGAAATAAACAAAAAGATAGATGGGTAAAATTACCAAAGATAAGAGAAGATAGAAACAGGGCGCCACTCAATTTTTTGGGGTTAAGGAGAAAATTAAGAAAACCTTAAGAAAAGAAAAGAGATAAGAAAAGATATTTAGGTTCAGAGATCAAACCCAAGAAAAGATACCAACAGTAAATTATCAAATAAATCTGGTCAATGCAATATATAAACAAACAAAAAGGTTACAAGAATGAAAACATAAACCAAACCGCACTTGGCTAAGTCAATTAACTATCTCGCACTATTATTTAATAAAAAACTGAGACTTGTATGTTCATAGGTAATATTTATAGAAATTTCTTGAATGGTTCAATTACATTCAAAAATCGGCAATCTTCAGGTGAAGATATAGATGATACGTCCAGATAATGGCAGGTGATATGGTACCATACCATATTACTCGCTCAGATAAATGTAGATAAAATTACTTACAGTAGATCTTGACGAAGCCAGCTTAATTCACTGAATTTAATACTTTTCTGGTACTAAACACTGAATTTAATAACCATTAAAGGAAGTGTAGAACTATATATAATTTAATATAGTCTAAGGAAAGAAAACTCAAATATAAAGTGTATACACACTTAGAAAATAATTCTCAAAGACGATACGATAAGAAATAAAGTGAGCAAAGCGTAACACGAGATATTGGCCTTAACTCAACAACGGCCCACCAACAAGTAACTTGGTTCCACTCAAAATTTTAATACCTGTCCCTGAAAAAGGAAGAAGAAAATATTCCCCCACTCAAGAATGATAGGACAGTTGTATGTGTTTCTCAGAAGGTAAGGCCTTGACGACTATTGGAAAATTTGAGGTAAAATAATCGGTATTAACAATTGAACATAAGAAACAGACAATACTTGGGATTAAGTTTTTGTCGAAAGAAACGGGCCTTCGACGAAAATTTCCAATTTATGAAAAGGAAACTGCATACCAAAACGCATTATAGTCTTTTCATGATGAATATTATGACGGAAGGATTAAAAACCATTCCTAATTAGGGAATTCCATTTTAGCTGGGTATCTACAATATTTTGCTATCGATCATAGGCGCATCGCACGGGGGTAAAAGGAATTAGAAATATTTAATATATTAATAATAAAAAAATGTTACACTGTCGTTAATGATAGCTTCTACAACAGGTTTTGGTTGGACATTTTTATTATCCATAATTGTTGGAATATGTGACGTTTTCTGCGATACGGCATTGTAATGTTTAAAAAAATTGTAGTTTTCTTGCAAAATTTTGTATTTTTTTCCATTTCTTGGATGATTCGATTAAGAAGTTCAATTTCTCGTTCACTTTTCTTCGTACTTAACGCTCCATTTTCGTTATAAGAACTGGTGCAGTTTTTATCATTTTCAGTGTCACAGCACTTAAGCAACCTTTCATTTGCAAATTCTAGTTTTCGCTGCCCCAAACCAACAAATCATATATAAATATCTTTTCTTTGATAGTGGTATTTTTCCAACAGTATTTTTTGTAATGTGAAGAGCTTCATTCGTATCCAATCCACTCCAGAAACCGAACTGATTTGCACTTTAATTTGATATACACTTTTTAAATAACTGGTTATAAATTATATCTAAAAGTATTCTTAACTAATAACTCATTAGACTTATCAATGCAAAAACGTTGCAATTGCAAGAATTAATTTTTTAGGTAGTTGAATGAAGATCGATTCCAGCGATTTTTGTGGAATCTCCCCGTTACATAAATCAGATTAAATACATTTTGTTGATTCATTTAGATTGTCGTCTTCAGTAAATTTCAGTATTTCTGGATATATGTTCGTAGGATTTTGGTGCCAGTTTCACAGGATACTGGTAGACTTGTGTCCACCCTGGTATCTTTAAAAAGTTATGTAGTGTGGTCTTCCCATTGGCATTTTTCTGATATCTCTGTAATAAGTCTACCGTCTGAGTTCACGATGAACTGTCAATAACGATACGTCGTTTCATAAAAGTAAATTGTTTTAACTGTTTTAGATTTAGTTTTTCCATATACTTGCTACATATCTTATCTAATAAATAGACTTCCAGTATTTGACCACTAACAACTTTTTCATCACCTTTGATAATATCTGCCACACTCTCAATCGAAACTTTAATCAAAAGACTGTCAGGCAAAAGCCTATAAACCTTGAAAACTATATCTCGTTATATGTTTGAAAATATTAATTTTTACGTTTTATTTTGTACAATATAAAAAAAAAGTTCTTAAAAGGGAGCGAAGACTTAGTAAGACCTGACGTAAAATACGAATCAAATAACATGCGGGAGTATGTCTAAAAATGCACGAAAAATAAATTTGTCTAGTTTACTTAACGATCATGAAAAAGCCAGTGCCAGTAGTAACGAGTTAGAATTCACATCAACCACACGATAGATGTATGAAGATTATTATATTAGTTGTCAACGTTTTAGAACATGAATATTGATAAAGGAGACAAAAAGTTCTTAATACAGATTTTTTACATTTTTGTATTATGCCCTTCACCCAAAGATTGATTAGGCTTTGTTGCATTACCCAAAAGGTCCTCATTTAAATACCCTTTCGATGATTTATTGGTTGATTTTATGAAAGTGCGAACTGTGATAAAATACCGATTCGGTTTTCTTTGCTGCGATTATTTATACTGAAAAGGGGTCACTGTGATTTATGTTTCGTTATAATTTAGTAAGCTGGTGAATAATATTAGGGGTCTATAAGGCTTTCAGCCAGAAAGGGTAGTTTTTTGACACGTTATTTATTTCGCTTGTACAAAATTTTTTCGCGTGAATTTAAATATCTTATTTTATCTTAATTATGTTCTTATATTAAAGGCAACAGTGTTTCAATTGTTTCATTGCATGTCCTTAATGAAAAAATTATACACTTGACCAAATATTTAAAAAAAAAATTATAAATAACAGATCACAAAAGAAGTCTGACGAAAACTACAAAGAACTGTTGATAAGTGATATAAGTGAAGATGCTCTTTGTTTAAGTAAAGATCTTCATGAATGACTTAACTACACATAGAACTTAATAGCCCCAAGACTGGTTTATCAATAAGTATCATTAAAAAGTTTTATCTACTTTAATGCGGAAAGTTAATAATTATATCCTCTGAAATACATACAACTATGAGAATGAATGTAGAACGATAATGTAGAACTGTAATGTTCGGCTGTCCAAATTGAACTTGACGGGGTTTAAATTTAGTACCATTTACCAAGAAAACAGAGATAATATTTTTTGTAGTTTACTGCCAATACCAGGTTTAATAATATTTTGTATTGAGGCGCGTGTGGACTTCGAGTCTACATATATAATTTGTCGCATAAATACGGAGAAAAAACGGAGTAAAATTAAAATTGATTTTAGTTAAAATTATTACATTTTACGTTTGTTTTTGTCGTTTAGATTTCCACTACGGATATGTTTTCAAATAAGAAAAAATTAAAAAAATAAATAAATAAATAAATTAAAGGAGGCTCGGTGCTATTTATAACATGTAGACGTTTATTAATTATCGATTTTTGACCAAATCTGACAGTCTTTTCATCCGACCTAAATCTTGCAGGCATGAATGTTTTAAGTTAGGAATTATAAGGGTGGTTAAACACTTCTTCTTCTTCTTTAGTGCCTTATCCGGTCAGGATGTTGGCGATCATGAAGGCTATCATGGTTTTGTTGACTGCTCTGCAAAACAGCTCCGCTGAGGTCATCCCAAACCGTTGTCGGAGATTTTTCAACCACGAGATACGACGGCGTCCCGGTCCTCTTCTGCCAAATACTTTACCTTGCATAACGAGTTGAAGAATTCGATATTTTTCTTTTTTCCGCATCACGTGGCTGAGGTACTCAAGCTTACGTTGTTTAATTAAATTAAGAACTTATTTTTCTTTTGTTATGCGCTGTAGGACCTCAACGTTGGTGACATGGTCCACATAAGATATTTTTAGTATCCTTCTGTGTATCCACATCTCGAAGGCTTCGATTCGTTTTTCAGTGGCTTGCGTCAGTGTCCAGGCTTCAACTCTATATAGTAACACTGGAAGAACGTAGCACCTCACTATCCGCATCTTGGTTCCCAAACTGAGATCACTGCAGCACAGCAAGGATCTCAACTTAATAAATGTAGACCGTGCCATTTCAATTCTGGATCTAATCTCTTGAGCGTAGTCCCATTGTGAGTTGAGGGTAGTTCCGAGTTAAGTGAATCTGTCGACTCTCTGGATCTCTTCGCTACCTGTCATTAGTGCCCCGGGATCTAAATTTGAACGGCTGACAACCATGAATTTAGTTTTCTTAATATTAAGGTTCAGTCCGTATGTTACGCTTACAGTTTGCACTCGGTCTAGTAAGGCCTGCAGATCTTTTAGGTTGTACACTGGAGTCGTAATACTGTTGTGTTTATGTGTTTTTTTTTTATTTCGACTTAATGTGTCCCAAAATTTTAGGACATTGACACGGGAGCAAAGGTTTACAATAGCACATACAAAGTTATGATACAGAGTTTACAATAGTGAAGATTAAAAATATTCTGTAGTCTATCCATAAAAAAATTAAAAAATTGTGAAATCCAAGAAGTCATTACAAAAATAAACAAAAATAACACCCAGTTATGATCTTATTACAGATCTACTACTAAAATCTAATCCTCCTCCTCAGTCCTAATCTCTTTTAGGATGTGGTGACACCATCAGGCCTTCACAGTTTTTTTAGGATTTCCCTCTATCCTTCTCTGTCCTGGGTTAGTTGTTCGGCTTCATGTAATTCTTGGTTAATCAATGTTTTTGTTTGATCTACCCAACGGCTTGGAGATCTTCCCCTAGATCTTTTACCCTCAACTCTACCCTCGACTATCAGTTTTTCCATCGTTCCTGTTTTTCTAGCAATGTGTCCAAAATACTGCAAATATCTCTGATGTATTTGTTTAAGCAATCTATCCTTTACTTTAAGTTGTTCTACTATCGATACGTTAGTGCGGTGATCAATCCAGGATATTCTCAACATACGGCGGTATACCCAAATTTCAAAAGCGTCCAGTTTATTTTTATCCGCTTTCTTTAAGGTCCACGTTTCGGATGAATATGTGGCTATGGGAAAAATGAGCGCCCTTACCAGCCTTAGTTTTGTGTGTATTGTTATGCTAGAATTTTTCCAAATTGCTATCAGTTTAATCATGGCTGTTCTAGCAATAGTCAACCTTCTACGTATTTCTCTGTCACACCCTCCGTGATTTGTTATTAGAGACCCCAGCTATATGAAAGTATTTACTACTTCAAAGCCCCCAATTTCTTTAATGTGCTGAAGATTATTCCGAGCTCTGTCTACTATCATGATCTTTGTCTTACTCGTATTTAGCTTTAGTCCATATGTTTTGCTTTTTTTCTCCAAACATCTCATTATGTCTTCCATTTCTTCCTGATTTGCCGCGATTATTAAAGTTTCATCATCATAGCTCAAGTTATTAATTTTTTAACCTCCTACTGATATTCCGCCCTTTCATCCCTCTAGTACCTTTCGCATAATGTGTTCGCTGTAGATATTAAACAGAGTTGGCGAGATTATGCATCCCTGTATGACACCTCCCTCTGTTCTGAAATGATCGGAATGGGTCTTGTTTAATTTTACTGTGCTCTTATTATTTTCATATATACTTCTAATTAGTTGAATTAAGTGGTGGGGTATTCCCATTTCCGCTAGTATGGACCATAGCTGCTGCCATTTGACTTTATCGAAGGCCTTTGTGTAATCCACAAAGCACATAAGCATAGGAGTATTGAATTCACGAGTTTTTTCGATTATATATCTGACATTAAGGATGTGTTCTCTTATCTGAACATAATAAGAATATAATAAAAAAATGTAATAAAAATCTAATACCTGATCTAATACTAAAAAATTTACCTGGCCAACAGACTAACACTTTAATATCAACGCTATTATAAAATAAGCTTACTTTCCTGTCATGTAGAAAGTAACTAAAATAATTGTAAGAAGAATGTTGCGTTTCGATTTAATTTGAGTCTCGATTTAATTTGAGTCTCTTACCACTCTGACATGTGTTTCTAGGTCTACCCGTCATCAGAAGGAGTTTGTAAGAAGACTTAAACCAAATCAAAACGCACCGATTATTTTGGCAATTACATAAAAATAACTATCAGAGTATGCAACTAGAGTCCTCTAGTGAGGAAAGATGAAGATACGTCGATAGCAATTAAAGTAAACTGTATACCCAAGCTTAAACAAAAATAATTATGGTGCCAAAACCTAGCAAAAATCAAATGTAGTCTCACCATACCATCCAATAAGTATTAACAACTTTAGCAAAGATTTTGAAAACATCCTTATAATTAGAATCGAACTATTGTCTTGCAAAATAGATTAGTACCAAACTAGAAATTTGGTTTTAGGCAAAAACATGGTACTATCGAGCAAATATGTAGAGTAGTCAGAACAGCTAGAGATCCCCTTAAAAGTTCTAGAGTACAACTGCCTTACTAGATATCTCACAGGCATTTGACAATGGCATGATGGGCTGTATCTCTTAAAATTAAGCCACAGATATATTATTACATAGCAAAAATTTTACTGTCATATATAACAGATATATCCTTTTTAATTAAGAATCCCTCAAGGTAGTGTAGTCGGACCAACCCTATATTCACTGTACACAGCTGACATGCCTACCGCAAAGAATACAGGAATTGCTACGTATGCAGATGATACCGTCGTAACGACCACTCATGTGTCCAAGAGTAGCAATTGGAAATTTGCAAAACCATTAAATTCAATTAGAAATTTGGTTAAAAGTATAGCGTGAAGTAAATAATACTAAATCGACTCAGATTATCTTTACGTTAAAATGAGAGAACTGCTGTTTGGTACCTATAAACATATTATTTAATTCAGGCAACCTGAGGATTTGTTTGTTCTATTCACTTAATCTTTCACTTCTGTTTCGAGCTTTCCGTACTTGTTCTATCATTTGTTCTGTTGAACCTAAACTTGAACTCTATCACTTGTTTTATTATTTTTGATCTGTTGGCTCTAAATATTAATTTAATAGATTAGTCTTTTTTTGTATTTGAGATAAATTTAAGAATAAATAATTAGCATACAATGGGGGTATGAAAAGTATAACTAGTATTTCTTTTTCTTCTTTTTTTATTAAATAAATTGGCTGTTTTATATTCATACAGCTATATTCTACTAGTAATTTATTTTAAGAGGTTCTAATATCTTTTTGCTCTTCCATTTTGTTACCTTACTGGTTTTTTCTTTCTAGTATTCAGTTATTGCTGCCATCAACTTTGCATACGTATCTGAAGCGCTCTTTTATCCATATTTCCTTTTTGTTTTTTCTTCTGACCAACAATAATTAGTTATATTGATTATTTGTAATCTTTTTGGAAATTATTGTAATCCAAAAGGTATTTTTAAAAATTTTATGAAAGACTATGGTTCAATAAATATACTAGAATTGAAAATAGGCATAAAAACTTTAAATTTATTAAAAGTAGTTTCATTTAAACTATGTAAATAAGAAATATGTATATGTAACAATAAAACACTGAAAACTTTGTTTTCAAACTTCCACAAAATTTATTTTAAATATTATCACTACAGCTGTTTCGGCTGATTGCCTTTCTCAAGTGATCTATTTTGGCTTGGGTTTACAAATTTATAGTCTCTAATGAAATAGGTTGAGGAGGGGAGAACTGTTTGTATCAAGTTGGTCATTCAGAATTATATCTGTGTTTTTTAATTTGTTGATTTCCATAGATTCTAACAAAGATAGCTTAAGGCCTTTATTTTGAATGTGAAGAATTTTAAATTTGTCATTAAAAGAATGATTATGATCTAGAAGGTGAAGTGCGTATGTCGAATCTGTTTTTCTATTCTTGAAAGCCCTTTTATGTTCTGCTATTCGTTTATCAAAGTTTCTACCAGTTTGACCGATGTAAGTTTTTGGGCAGTCGCCACATTGGAGTTTGTATACACCACTATTTAAG